GCGATTCTCTGATTCTTGGGATCTGGCATTGTAGACGAGCACTCCTGGCTGATCTTTGGTATTCTCCTGGCTCTTTGGCAAATAAGAAATAAATCAAACATGGCGGTGAATGGCTGCCACAAGTGTCAGTCATTTGAACATTGCTCAGCTCCTTCAAAAAGCTGGCAATCCGGCCCGGAAGCCTTGGTTCTGCTTTCATACAGAAGAGTAAAAAATACGAGCGATTGTCTCATGTTTCTTGTGTAGGCAACTGACCCAATTCCAAAGGCCAAGCGATAAGATGCTGGTACAGAGACCGTCGGATAGGACCACACCTCTCCCACAGCATGAAAACAGCGTATTGGGATGCCATCAATTGATGGCATGGCGACCCGAGCGTCGGAAACCCAGCATGACCTTGTCTCTAAAATCTCAAATCGCTACTAGGCTGGAGGCCATCGCACAACGGCCCTTCCACCTCTGTGGCATCGTTGTCGAAGAAATACACAATGCACTTCTTCGCATGGGTCACCACCTGAATGACATGAAGACAAATAGGGCCTTCAGGCCTTACACAAGTCTCACAGCTCAGTACTCTGTTTGAACTTGTGAATAAGCCTATGCAGCCTTTTTGGTTTATGGCAACACCGTGGAACCGGGCCTGCACGGCCTTTTCGATGCTGCTCACCAAATCGAGCGTGTTGGCAGTCGTGCTGAGCTCTGAGACGAGGGACTGGCCACGAGTTTCATTGAAAGGAGAAAAAATAATATGATGTATATAGTATGTGTTGTCTGCTTTTGTCCTATTTTTTGTGGGAGGGGTGAGAGGTGGGAGGGGTGAGAGGGGTGGGAGGGAGCCGAAACAGCTTTTGGAAGGGCTCTGTTGCAACCAAATGACATGGGTCAGAGTATCAATTATATTATACCAGCATAGACCCCAAACAGTTTCAAAACGATTCGTTTAGACCAATATTAGTAAAACATCGATTTCTTGGTACGCCCTACTTTCACCCCAAAAGCAAACTGCTTCATCAATGGATTTTTGTCGGCATTGACACCGCTATTTGTTCGGCCACACTTCTCTCCAGTAAGCCTGGCCAGCCACAGAGTTCAGGGGCGCGGCCAAGACAAGGACAAGAGGAGGACAAGGCCCAGCTACAGAGCCCAGCACAGAGGACAAGAGGAGGACAAGAGCCCAGTAAGCCGTCCATAGCACACGAGCGCGCGCGCTCGCCCTGCTTTTTCTATCTCTCTCTCTCTCTCTCTATCTATCTTTCTTTCTTTCTTTCTTGCTTTCTTGCTTTCTTGCTTTCTTGCTTGCTTGCTTGCTTGCTTGCTTTCTTGCTTTCTTGCTTTCTTGCTTTCTTGCTTGCTTGCTTGCTTGCTTTCTTTCTTTCTTTCTTTCTTTCTTTTTCTTTCTTTGTTTCTTTCTTTCTCTCTCTCTCTCTCTCTGTCTCTCTCTCTCTCTCTTTCTCTGTCTTTCTCTCTGCAGAGCGCGCCCTGAGCGCGCCTTTCTGGAGCGCATTTCAGAGCGCGCCAGAGAGAGCGCCGTCCAAAGCACACGAGCGCGCGCGCGCGCGCCCTACTGTCTTTCTTTCTTTCTTCCTTTCTTCTCCTTTCCTTTCCTTTCCTTTCCTTTCCTTTCCTTT